GGTATAGGTATAGGTATAGGTATAGGTATAGGTATAGGTATAGGTATAGGTATAGGTATAGATTAAGAAATATATATTTTTTCTATTTGTAGTATTAAGTAAAATTGATGGCTTTGTAGATACTACCCGTTTTTCCTGAAACCTCATTTAAAGATATTATATTGCAGATATAAGTATATGAATTCTTATATTTGTTGAAAATGTTTATATACATATTTAATATATAATTTATGGAACTTAATATGTACCAAATATGTATACTTTCCTACCTTCTTTAAAAGAGTATAATTTGTAAGAATTTGTTGTATTTGGTTGCTGGAAAAAGTTTACAACTCTTCGGTGCATATACGGATCAGGTGCCTGCGTGTATCTACATTAACAACAATCTGCATTGATTCGAGTAGCAGAACTACAATTGCCTACAAGCTGCTCCTCTCCGATCAACGATGATGATGACTTGATAATATATGTATATTTGATATGATAATTGACCTGATAATGCATATATGCGAATAGAATTCTCTATAGATAAAAGTTATCAAAAATAGATTTCTTAATATGCTTTTTCTTCTAATCATAACCATTTTAATGTTCCTTCTGATATTATGTGGAATAAGTAATGTTTTGTTTGCCCAAGGCAAATCTGGAAAAGTAAACAAATGAAATTTCTAATTCTAATTCTAATCAGAGTAAAAATAATGTTTATGACGATTATTAAAAATAAGTAAAAAGGAACAAGTCGAGACTGCACGACCAGGAGATACCCTGTACCCTGCATACTGATATTCTAATCATTGTGCATTTCTTTTAAGCACACATATATACACATGCGTCCACACGCACGCATAAGCACGCGCTCTGCTAACTGAGCAATAGGCAGCGACTGGGCGAAGAGGGCGTGGTATCCAAAATCTGTAAATTACAAAATGTATATATACACAGTAAATCTGAAGTCTCCAGGTCTAATATTGTTCAAATTACGCTGAAAAAAACGAAATTGATCGATTAATCTCGATAAGAGATCGAATTAGTTATCGAAAAAATATGATAAAAATTTATTGTATGCATGCAAAATTTCAGCTCTGTAGCTCGTATATCTACGTACATATATCAGACAGACGAACGGACAGGGCTATGTCAACTCAGCTCGTCGTCCTAATCAAGAATATATATACTTTATGGGGTCTGCGATTATTCCTACTGCCTGTTACATACTTTTCAAAAGAACATCTTACCCTCATTTCCCATTTTCAATGGGTATAAAAAGATTTGCTTTTTTTCTACTATGAGTGATTATGTACAGCTTGGTTTGCCTAGGGTAAATTTGCACTTAGAAAAATTTAAGATACAAAATAGCACCAATATATATTTATCGATTTAATTCTAATCAAACTGGTAACGATTGTTACAACTGAATATCTATCCTTCATGCATTCCATCTAAATAAATTAGTAAAAAGTAAAGTACCTATAGGAACTTAACAAAATGTATGGAATGTCTTCTCTAAAATAGTCCGAAATAAGCATGAAACAAATAAAATTATATATACAAAAATCTATAAAAATAAAATACATATGTATGTATATGATTTATTTTTCTTGATTCCTCTATGATACCAAAGCATGTTCATAAAATATTCTATATTATCCCTATTCACCACATTGGGATCTAAATTGAAGAATTGTTTTGAGTCTATGCTTATATTTGCTATTTATACGTCATTGTTAAAATTATGAATTTTTATTAGTACTTTGAAATGATTATAAGTTGTCCTTGATTCCTCTATGATTCCTTAACATGCTGTTGATAACTCACTTAGGAATTACAATGGACTACAATCCAAAATTTATCTGCAGTCTTAGCTGAAGTTCTTTAATGTAATTAGCCCAGCTAGATGCACTTGTACTAGCTACAGTGCGCTATGACTTTGTTGAATTCTGTCAATGGGAATTTCCCACATTTCAAGAACAAACAATACCTTGCTTAAGTATGTTATGATTCAGAAAAGAATAACAATTTCCTTTCGCTAGCCCTTCTAGTCTACAATGGTTTGAGACTTCCCCAAATTCGTATAGTCATACGTCAGCTCGTTCAGATATTAAGTTGATTTGTGGTTAATGATTTGCCGATCATCTGCCCAGCAGCAGCAGCTGTAGCTCATCAGCCCCTCCCCAGCCACTCCGGCTGCCGGCGTCGGCTGCCAAAAATAATGTCGCCGTGTGCCTCCAATTCGGCATTTAGACATACATACATCGTTGTCCACATACAAATATCTGTACATACAGATATACATATCTATATCTGTGAATTCGGTTCCACTTAGCCGCAGTCGGAATTGTTGTCTTTGCGCTTGTGGTCGATCGCAGATCGTTTGTCGCCCATCTATAAAAGAAAAGAATCGGAACAAAAAAAACAAAGTGATGCTACAATTTACATAAATTCACAAAAATTGTAATATATTCATTGGAAATTCTACTTTAAAAATGTCACGTGCCGCAGTGCGATCCTAACTAAAAGATACTCGGAAGGGTTCCACCCAGTTTTGTGATCCTAAATAGTCTTGGAAGTGTCTTCGCCAAGATGTTTGTTTATATCTGATGTGGTTTGTGTGTTATATTTGTGATTGCATAATTTATACGGGGACGGTGCCAGCATTGATTGCTCCTCTGCTTTGTGATTAGCTGGCTCTATTTATCCATTAACACCCACACACCCGTCGATAATCGTACGCTCCACGATGAAGAAACTACATTTGGGCGCCAAGCATAAGGCGAAATCGTACAAACCCTTTCGGAATAAGAATCGTCGGGTAAGTGTAAGCACGGACCCAGATCTGACAATACACCCAGTGGCCCACCCCTTCACTGGCCCAGTTTGGTTATTTTTAAACACTTGCTCGCGACGTGGATCTTACAGTGCTCTTAAAAATTCCGCTCACTTGACCATGCTGAATATCACTCTTTCTGCTCGGCTCTTTCTGTTTATTTCTGCTCTGAATTATGGCACAAGTAATGCGAAAGGCATGCGGAATGAAGACTCAGTGAAGGCACAAATCAATCCCTGAAGTGCCGTCGATTGCAGTATTAAAAAGGTTTAAAGAACGTTTAGGTCAAATTTTGAATTAGCGGAAAAAGTAAACAATAATTCGCCACACACTTACCTTCAGCCAGAGTATCGCAAAAGGGGGTCAAATGACATTCGCATTTCTCTCTGGCATTGGTTTATACACAACAAAACAATGGCACAAAACATAAGAAGAAGCACAAGAAAAGGAGAGCGCATTTCGACGCATGCGTAGTTCGTGAGTGTAGACTTTTATTTGCAAAACACCTATCTTCTCTCTCCCACACATTCATTTGATTACTCTCTGACTCTCTGTGTGTAGCTATGCGCTCATCTGGAAATGCTTCCTTCCTCTCTGTCTCTCGCACGCACTTGATGATGGACAACATAATGTTTACGTTGTAATGCACACTGTGTTGGCATTTTAGAATCTGGTGGAATAAAGTTTACGATAATATTATGACTATAATGGTTTGATATGTTTCATAAATCAACATACTTTTAAAAATTAACCTTTTTAATCAACACAAATTTTTACTCTTGTTGGAATATTTATTATTATATTTCAATAAGAAAAATATCCATATGTATGTATTTGATACATAATTAATAATTCTTTAATCAGAATAAACATATTTAAAACATTCTCACATTTTCGCTCAGAGCAGATCTAATTTTATTCCCCCACTGTGTATTATAAACAGTTACATGTACATATGTATGTATGTACATATGTACATATACACATGTGTGTTTAGGTGTGATAAGCGTGACTTGCCAACAGGTGGACGACCCCTTGCTTAATTTAGACAAATATCGATTTTCCACAAAGCAAAAAAACTCATAGCATCTATTTAGCTTTTTTCTGATATAGTAATTGAGCGAACAAAAATTGTTTAGATGGAATGTTTAAACAATTCTGTGTAAATTCGCAAATTATGCAGCATATACATATGTATGTATGTACATGTGTATTTGTATATTTAATTATGTATGTACATACATATGTATGCAAGTGTATTATGGGTACGATTGTAGCAAAAGTGTTGCCATTGCACTTGGACTTCCACTTCCAGTGAACTTAAATGAAAAGAGAATTTTGTTTACATTTCATATTGGCAAGTAAAAGTGTGTGCATTTGCATTAGTGTTCGTATTGAAAGCACGTAGTAGTACGTAGTACTCGCATCGCAATCGCAATAGAAATGGCAATAGTAGCAATCGCACTCGCACTCACGCTCATTGAATCACCTCCACGTGGGTAGAGTGAAAGGGCAGTGCAGTGGGGCACTGTTGCGGTGCACACTCCCAACAACATTTACGCACTGGAAGTGAGGGAAACTCTACACAAGTGCTTTTTTTTCTCCCCAAAAACGAAGCATTCATGAACACATTTTTCGTTTTCCAAATACAGAAACGATTTAGTTTGCTTCTGGAATTGAGTTCGAGTGAATGTTGGATGCGAATGCGAATACGAAAGTGAATTTCTTGGTCAAAGTGCGCGGGGAATGGAATCTGAAACGAAATATGAATCGCATGAATCCTAGCTGGCATATAACTGTAATAAAACCACATCAAATCCATCTCTAACAAAGGCAAACGCACATAATGCCACAATAAAAGTTAGAAAACAACAAAAATATAAAAGAATTTTCTCTCAGCGGGACAGTTCCCAACAGCACTTACAGCTCGGGGTTTTCCAGTGAATTGATGTGTTTTCAAATACAAAAAAATATAAAATAAAAGCAAGCAGATTATCGGCTTGCCGCGGGTCCAACTAAAATGCCAAATACCTATTTTTAACTCACACAAAGTAATATTCGAGAGGCGCCAATACGCCAATACGTTAAAACGGTTGCGAAAAAATAAAATATATATGTATAATATTTAAGATTTCCGTACCGGGGAAGAGTGGCTCAGTAGTTAGAAGAAGAATAAGAAGCGGCGCGAAGTCAGCGTGTGTGCCTTTCCAGTTACATTTACCATTTACCATTCACCGTTTACATTTACTGAGTGTGCCTGTCTGCCAGTGGCTTCCAGAGTTCGTTATCTCGCTCGCTCGTCCGCCCTCGCTGGCACTCTCGCTATCGCTCTGTCTCTCTCCGTGTCCCCTTTCTCGAACTGCCAATTGCCTTATGTGGATTGCGGATTGTCGCCTGGCGTCCGAGCTCTAAGCAACCAGTGGGAGAGTGGATGCGGCGGCTATCGCTATTTTCGTTTCCCTAACGTTCCTCGGACACTGGGTGTTGTGGAGCGTCGCTCAGTGCTTCTCAATCGTCATCGCCATCGCTATCGTCATTGACATCGTCATCGCTGTCGTCATTGACATCGTTATCGTCATCGCCATTGTTATCAATTGCCTCCGTTACTGTGGCATTGACAAGTTCAATTGCGGTTGTTGTTGGGCCATTGGGTCGGTAACATCATCAAAATATCTTCATTCGAAGAGGATTATCGGGCTGACAGGCCCATGGTGCAGCGTGCATCCTCCTCAGATGCTCCCTCCATTCAGGGTGGCCAACATCGAGAATCTCGATTTGGCCTTGGATATACATCATACCAAAGCGGATACAATAAGCTTTTCACCCAGGTGCTGAATGTTCAACTAATATAACTAAAATACTCTAGTTCTACAGTTCCGATACCACGTCCCTTTGATGTTACAAGGAGATACACATATATTTTGATCTATGATCTCATTGAATTTTCTGGATACTATCGATTCACAGCCTCTGGCAAGCAGCCAATATAATTACTTATGGAGAGAACATTGAATTGTTATTATATACATACACATACACATATATTGTGCACATTGCCCTCATTAATATCATGACGTGCTTTGTTTATTTTGTTTATCAGGGTTCTGCCGACTCGAACTACTCACAACCGTCATCCGATCTGTCGCTAGACGAGGAAAAGGAATCGCTTCGGCGAGAAAAGGAACGTCAGGCCTTAAGCCAGTTGGATAAAGCGAGGGTAAGATCAATCAATGATTAACTATGAAAAACACTTATTGATATCGACTTCTTATCCTTATAGAGTAAACCTGTAGCGTTCGCTGTGCGAACCAACGTAGCATATGATGGCACAATCGACGACGATTCACCCGTGCAGGGCGGTGCAGTTTCATTTGAGATCCGGGAGTTTTTGCACATCAAGGAGAAGTATGACAATAACTGGTGGATCGGCAGACTGGTTAAGGAAGGCTGTGATGTGGGCTTCATACCCAGCCCCGCTAAGCTAGACAACATTCGTATGCAGGTCTTGAACTGAAAATACCCTTGAATGAATGAAGTACTTGAAAACTAATGGAATGTTGATGGCTTATGTTGCAGAATCAAACTAGACCCTCAAGACTGTACGGCACAAAGGGCTCATCAAGCGGCAATCTAGGTGCGGGCCAAGCAGGTGCGGAGCCATCACGAGGTAGCACACCCCCCACACCTGGTATGACACACATTTCATTCTCCTGATTTCTTTTCGGCGAGGTTTTATTTCGTATATCGTAATATCAATTTGGTTTCTAATCAAAATCTTTTCTGTTGTACGAGTGTTTCAATGTAATATTTACTTTTCGTATTTATGTCGTATAAACTATCTTCGTCGTCGTCGTCGTCGTTAATATTGAATATCTAACGACAATCTCGTACACAAAACGAGTGACCATTTAACATATCTTGTAATATTCCACAAACGATATATATATCTGTAAATGAACGCGGGAGTGACTGGGTCAGTACCACAACCGAGGTACTCCAAAAACCGATTGGCATCAATCCAGGAAGACTCAATTGTCTCTTTCGAGAGCTGAATCCGTCAGCAAAGCAGCTAAGATCGTCCGATATGATAATGCACAAACATGAAATGTAGTTTATCGCGTACCGTTTTGAATTTTCATTTAGAGAAACCTAATATCTGGCAAACACTGGGCTCCAAAATTGTTGTAATTTCATACATTTTGTGTTATATATATTTAAATCATGCGACCTCCATTATAAAACTGCAATAAGGAATTATATAAGTCATCAGCATTTGTCAAATGGTCCAATCTATACTAATACTGATGTAGATAACAACACTTTTTTCTGCATGATAACAACCACTCAACGAATTGGTCCAGAACGCATACCTCTTTCTCTCTCTTTCTATCTGTCTGTTTCTTCTCTCAACACGAACACCACACTATCTGAAACTCTAAGCTTTATTATAGAGAACAACTAACAGCACGCTCCTAATCATTTGCTCGTACTTTCCTAATACTACAAACTATATGAAAGTCTAGCAAAATAAAATCCTATTAACTGCACTTAACTCTCTTCTACCTCACACAACAACAACTATCACTAACAACCACCTACACTACAACAACAACGACAATTATAAAATCAACTTTATGTGTGATAAATAACCGTGTTCCAAAGACCCCTATAGTACAACACCACGCAAGAAACAAGGTTTGTCGAACGTCTCTCATCTGGTAATCAGAAAATTTCATTTTCAAAATCCTATGCTCGCCATGCTAGAGAATAATTTTCGAACATGTGTAGCTTTAATCAAGCGCAATCGTAATTGGAAATCGTAATTCCCATCTAGAGTTGGGCGACAATAAGAATTATTTAAACTAATAATCGATTTTAATAATACACAGATATTGATTGAGTTTCCTGCACTGCCTCCCGAATTTGTATCTTAATCTCTAAATGTAGAGCTTTTCTCTAGATGGGCAAATATTTTAGCCGCTCACTTCATATATCTTTAAGCTTAACATATGCTTTAGACTGAATCTCATCCTCGAGTTGACATTTCAACAGCATTTTTATATCGCGTGGTACGGTTGCAAATTATAAATCAAATCTTGCTTTCCCAGATTGGATACTACACATACACACACACGCACACATAGACACAATTGAATACACACACACACAAGCACACTATGAAAATTTTTGTATCTTTCCAATTAACTTTACTTGTATATATATAAATTGTATATAAAGCAAATATTTGGTAAAGAAAACCAGAACTTTAGTTGTACATTGGCTTGGCAACTCGTAGCGCTCGATCGTCGAATGTAGAAATCATAAAATCGCTCATCCGTTGCCATTATCTCTTCTCTCTGGCTATTCGAATATGATACTAACAATCAGGTGACGAATCAGATTCCATGGGACCAGGACGTCATGGCAAGACACCGTTAGCAACGCCGCCCAACAAGGAGAAGCGCAAGCCATTTTTCAAGAAACAGGAAACAGCCAGTCCGTACGATGTGGTGCCATCGATGCGTCCTGTTGTTTTAGTGGGTCCAAGCCTTAAGGGTTACGAGGTAACCGACATGATGCAAAAGGCGCTGTTCGATTTCCTCAAGCATCGCTTCGAAGGACGCATCATCATCACGCGCGTCATGGCCGACATATCGCTAGCGAAACGATCGATCATGAACAATCCATCGAAGCGTGCCATCATGGAGCGTTCCAGCAGTCGATCGGATTGCCTGGGCAAGGTCCAAGAAGAGATCGAGCGCATCTTTGAGCTGGCCCGTTCCCTGCAGCTGGTCGTACTCGATTGTGATACAATCAATCATCCGTCACAATTAGCAAAAACTTCATTAGCGCCAACAATAGTTTACTTAAAGATTAGTAGTAGTAAGGTAAGTAAATAAATGAACTCAGAGAGAGAGAGAGAGAGAGAGAGAAAGAGAGAGAGACTGTAACCTAATATAATTTATTTGCAGGTTTTACAGCGTTTAATCAAATCACGTGGCAAATCGCAAGCTAAAAACTTATCCGTACAAATGGTTGCCGCTGAAAAATTAGCCCAATGTCCACCCGAAATGTTCGATGTAATTTTAGACGAGAACCAATTGGAAGATGCCTGCGAGCACATAGCTGAGTACTTGGAGGTAAGTGCCGCACATATTATATCCAGTACATATCAGTTGTATTCACCTATTTGACTTCTGCAGACATATTGGAAAGCCACGCATCCAGATATACGCGCTGGGTCCACCGTACCGGCCATTGCCAGGCCGATACCGTCCCAGGAGGTGTCGGCGTCGCCCTCTGCCGATCCAGCGCGCTTGGGTCCAACACCACCAGGTAAAGTTGGATCTGCTGTAGGATGTGTTCATTTAGTGAGCGCATTGTCATCTTCATACGTGTATCGTATCCGCTTTTCGCAAACAAAAAAGAAAAAGAAAAAAGTGAACTATATTCAAGAAATCAATTCCGATTGCCCACTCTATATAACCACTGTCTCATTCACAAATCCGTTTTGGCTATTGAAGACTCATCGAAAATCGAAAAAAGAAGTCACAAATCGATCTCAGATCTGATCTGTTCAACTAGATGTGCATTTATGATTTGAATTTATTTTGATTTTTGTTTTCGACATAATACCAAACAGTATTCAACTTACATACAATTCAACATAAAAGATACTCATATTCACAATTGCAAAACACGAATATTCACAATGTTAATCAAACCACATACTTGTATATGCTCGTACAAAATACAATTCTAAAATTTGTCTTTCTCAAATTCAAATTCCCATGACTGTACCGATAAACAAAAAACAAACAAACCAATCGACGCTTCTTCTTGCTCTCTCTCCGCACTCGCGTGTCTGCGCAAGTAGTCGATGGCGAGGAGTTTGAAGAGCACGAGCCACGAATGGCTAGTGCCGAGCGTGAGGGTAGTCGGGATCGGGATCGGGATCGGGATCGAGATCGGGAACGGGAGCGAGAGCGTGGCAGTAGGGAAAGAGAACGGGACAATGAACGCGACTACTGGGACAGGGAGTTTAACAGAGATCGTAGTTCGAAAGACAGGGAGCGGGACATGGAGTGGGAGCGCGAGAGAGCACGCGAGTGGGAAAGAGAGCGAGAAAGGGATTGGGATAGAGAGTTCGATTGGGACCAAGGTAAATTCTAATGTTATTTTTCATTTGGTTATACTATAATCGCATAATTTTGAACAGCAAATCTATTTGTAATACTTTCTCGAATAGCGTTAAACGTCATACATATACATGCATAAATACCAGTATTCTTATTGGTGACTTAGTTGAACCTGTTGATTATTATAAAACTATATTTGCCATAGAGTTTCAATGTCTCACCTATAGATTATCGTATACATAGCTCAGCTTTTCTAACAGTACTATATACTTAACACTTTGATATCTTAATACCTTGCTATTTGCAGAAACTTTCTTTTATTCATATCCAACTATATTTTATATACAAATGAATTATCTATTTTGTTACAAGATTACCTGAATCCCGTTTATTTCTTATGGTTTTTTAGATTATTTAGATCGTGGGGCACCTAAAGATTCATAATATACCATTAGTTAGTCTGTTTTACCGATGTTTTCATTTACCCAATCGATACGTTTTACTGTGCTCTATCTATTTGTTTTCAACTAGAGATTAAGATTCTTAACACTTGAGTTTTCGTTGGTTTCTTATTTATAAACATGTTCTTTTATGCCAAACACTTCACAGCATTCACAGCACGAGACATACCCGGTTCCTTTACAACAATGCTATAATTTCAATCCAATTACCAAGATCGACACAAAATCAAAAGAAAGCGACATCAACAAAAAGTACAAAGAAAATGACAAATAACTATCCGAAACGAAAGAGTCTGTTCCAGTTTTCGCTATCGAATGCCCCCGTCCACGGAGATCAACAAGAGACATGAAAACGACTCGAACTAGAGTTCGAGTTTCACTGAGGTGCACAACTCCGTAGGAAGCGTTCTTTCTATCCCATATATACATATTTATAGGGCGCATTCCGTAGCCCCCTTGATCACTAAAAACCTATTAACCATAATATTTAAGATTGGTTCTATACTCTTTCTATAGTTTCTGCTCGAGTTCTGCTAACAACTACTAATGCGTGACTCATTCGAATCCCCGTGCTTTCTTCAATGCATTAACCATTATTCATAGAGTCCACAGATGCGACTCAGTATCAGCGTACAAATACATATATATATATTGTAATTGTCTAAATGTGCATTTGCCATGTTCTGTACTCGTTTCTAGTTACTCCTGGCGTCGTGCGCCTCTAGAGTCCTCTCGTCCTCGTCCTTCTACTCGATTCCTACATTGCTCGGGTCCAGTCTGTCAGGCTCAGCAAATCAACTCAGTTTAATATCTTGTGTTTGTTTAAGTTCAATACTTTTAATTACCGTTCGCCATTTCGAGTTAGTTAAACAACCAAAACAATAAAAGAGAGAAACAAATTAATATTCATTATTTTAGACACACGTAAGGTTGGCTTAGTGAGTATTTCGTAACCCAAAAAAGGCTTTTATTTATTCTGTTTAATGTAACCCCTCCAGATGTTTTATTATTGGTTATGTACCACATTTCCCCCATTCCTCCATTTTAACTACCTAGAATGCTTTCCTTTTGGTTGCATAATTCCCATCATTAGTTGCTAGAGCAAGATGATGATAATCTAGTTCTTTTCCACTATTCTACATCTTTTTATTTCTAATCTACAGAGAGTCTCACATAAGTCTCTCAATCCATTGTTATACAAGATTAAATTATGAATAAGAAAAACTTTTTTTCAGCTAGCTTTGCTTTAAAGAAATTCTAATCCACCCAAAAAAAAAAAAAAAGAAGAAATAAATAAACCCTAGTAAATCAATAATAATACTAACTTAAGGGAGTTGAAGATTAAATTGCAATACGGCTATATACGTATACATATATAGTTAGAATACCACGCAAACCATATGCACTCTCCCGTGTTACTAAACCGTCAAGTGACCCTTGAGCAATTTTACCTTTGCCAATTGATGCGTTCGAATGCTTTGCTTTTCCGTTTTGTTTTTAGTTCGAGTTTGAGTTTGGTTTACCTATGCGTTGAATTTCAATTCGATTCGGCTTGATGGAGAGCTCGATACTAACGAATCTGTGTGTTAACCATTTTGCAGGAGGTGCCTCTTATCATCACAGTCGTCGTCAGGTCTCTGGACGGCATCAGGAGCGCGGCAGCGGGGGAGTCGGAGTCGGCCATGCCGCTGGCTACGAGCGCGACAGAGAGCGATACGAGCGACAGGAACGCGAGCGACTTCACGCCAGAGATCGGGATCTGATGCATTACGATCTGAACAGCGATGAGATGCTGGACGAGCGCAACTTTGAGTATCCGGCGATGCGCAGCGGGCCCAGCGGCGCCTCCCACCATGGCCACCTGTCGCGCGGCGGTCGACTGCTGGATGATACAGACTTTGAGCGCGACGATCGATTGTTGGGCAGCTCAAGGTCACGCTATGGACCCGGACCATCCACACGCATCGACGATCCCCGGGACATGGCGCGAGCAGCCACTGTGGTCGATCGCGATCGCGATGAATACAGTCCGCACAGAGGTGGTGGAAGTAGTAGGAGAATGCTGAATGCCATGTAGGAATCGTGGATATAGGGGTGGGATCAGATCGATTCGAAAGCGCCAGGTTTGATGGAAGCACGTGACAATAGTTTTGATCTTGACATGATACACAAACCGAAACCCAAACCCAAACCGCTGCTCCGACAGCACTCACAATCCCACTATCAGCCCCAAGGCCAACCTCCGGCTCAGCCTCAGATTCAGCATCCATCTCAATCTCTAACTCAGTCGCATCAGACACATCCTTCGCAGCGCTCATTCCTGGCTAGGCAGCGCAGCGGCGGCCAGTGGCTGTCATCCCCGTCGTTCTCCCTGTCGCAAGCCTCGATCAGTCAGCCCAGGCCCAGCGAACACTTTCCGTTGCGACACCAGCCACTGTCCTACCCGCAGGCACGACCACACAGCCAGAGCCAGTATCAACACCCGCACTCGTACACTTCCAGTCGCACACAGTCCCACACATCCCTTCCGACGCGCTCCCAACTTTATCCCAGCGACACGTTCCAAAGCACCTCATTTAGTCACCCGCCGTGCAGCGACAGCGACGCCCATCGAAACCGAAACAGAAACAGACCAAAAAGTTCAGCCGCGGAATATGATTGGAGATCGTCATCCTTCTCGCAAATCGATGCAGTCACCCACGCAATACGTAATAAGATTATCGTTGAGGAGGACGAAGAGGACATACTGACCCCAGATAGGTTTTATTGAAGAGATTTCAGCGAGGCATCAGGCACAAAACAACCGATATTTTGAAAGGAAGGGGGCATTGCACAATATGTTTACGTAGTAGAATTACCCTAAAAATTTAGTAACATCAATTTTGAAATGAGCCGTACATATATGTATGTACATATATATGTATATGTATGTATATATGTATATATAGCGACATCCATTCACACGTAGAGCATACTTATTTCAGTGCCAAAACACATTTGTACATTTCCATCGGGAGGCGGGATCCCATTCGAATTTCCTAGCGAAAATCGTCGGGATGGAAATACTTACATAGTTCATGATGAATAGCACAATGCTAAGTACAGCCTTATGTGTCTTAAAAACTATATGTAGCTAAGTGTAATGAGATTTTATTTAGCAAACCGTATATGTATATATATATATATATATATATATATATATATATATATATATATATA